GTGCGCAGCTGTTAGCGTTCAATTGGTTTGTGTGCGCAATTCCTGTGCGCAGCTGTTAACGTTTAATTGGTTCCTTGGTGCTCGCCAAGCACTTCGGTGAGGGCCAACCAGTTTCCCCCTTTTTGCAAAATGAACGGATACACTGTGGAAACTCTCACGGTCAGCTAACCCAAACACGTCTACGGTTTTCCATTTTAAAGCGTTAGTACCTCTCGCATGATTATTGAATGCGTAGAGCATTAGATGCACAGAGTATTATATGCATAAAGCGTTGCTGTAGTAGCTCTCCAGAGGAGAATAAAAGAAGAAAAGTACAGAGTCGTGGCACCTCTCGTTAATTCGGCCGAGCGAGCCGTAAAAGCCCCCCAACAAATTTTTTAATGTTTTTTTTATTTATTTATTTATTTTTCTTTTTTGACAGTATCTCCTGGAACAGAAGAGTTTGATTCTTCCTCCAGAGCATATTTTAAAACGAGGAGACAGTGAAGCGATAGCCTACGCGTTCTTTCATTTACCTCACTGGAAAAGAGTGGAAGGCGCACTCAATTTACTTCACTGTACTTGGGAAGGAAGTATGAATGTTTTTTTTTTTCTACTGCTAAGTCTTTGTACGAATATTTTGCTTTCTTGCAATTCAATCAGTTCAAAGATTTTGATTAGAGATTTAGGTGCTTTTAAATGGAGTTTCGAAGGATCAAAACCAAAGTTATGACAAAAATCAGTCGCAACAAAGGAAGATGTTATTGGAAGGTAATGAAAACTTACACTAAGATCAAGCAAATTATACAAACCGCGGCAAAACGCGCCCGACCAAGTTGGGATTGGTTTCATTTGTACATATGATTGGCTGAGAGGGTAGCGCGAGATTTCTCGACCTATTACAGGGAATATTAGAGCAAAGCCAGTAGAGTCCCGGATGACCTTCGACGCTCAACTGAAACTTGCTTATTAGAACAGTTTTCACCTCACCGTAACCTACTAGATAAAAAAGTTTCGTGATTTGAGAAGTCATTTCTCTATGAAACTGAAACCCAAATGAGTAGTCATGCTAAAACGACAACTTGTGAGTGAGTAAATTCTCAGTTTTTGTTTGGTTTGTATTTTCATATTGAATCTTTTTCGTTAGTCTTCTTTATGCTAGTTTGCTCTCTGTTTTCTGGTATAGGGAGGGAAGTTTCTAAGTATGACACTTGATTTCTTTTGCAGCATTTCGTCTCGTCCCCTACCCCCTGGAGAAGGGACACTTATTTCATCCCTACCCAGCATGCACCGAGAACGCTGACAGAGAACTTCTTCCAAGTAAGGTTTCGTTTATTCCGCCCCAGTTTTCCCTACAGATTTTACAAGAATAAGGCTTATTTTGACCCTGTTGTGGCTTAGATATTAAACTACTTAGTATCACAATAAAGGAATTATAGATATTTGGGGCGGTAAGTTTTGAATCAAGGGAAAGTTACCTTCAGCGTCACTCCTGTTGAGAGGCTTGGCAACCAAGCGCAGAACATAAAAATGGAGTAATGTTCTCAGTTGAGGTGATGCCGTCCTATTGAAGTTAGCACTGCAAAGTATAATCTGTCAAAGAAAACATGCCTAATTTAACTCTATGGTTGTTCTGCTTTGTCTCAGATCATCACGAATTGTCCGTTTATCCCAAAAAAGAACTCCCTTTCTTCATTCTTTTTACCGCTGCCCTCTGTTCGTTCACTGCAATGCTGGCTCTTCTCACTCACCAGTTCCCCGAGCCCATGGCTAACGCGGCCAAAACGGTAAGTGAAGAAGAAGCCCTACTGTGTGAGGCTCATGCTGCCGTTAGGGACCTGTTTATTCTAAGAGGAACAAGAGCACGAGACCGAAGTGTTTCCAACAGCGAAACGATGGACGCGTGTGAACACAGAAAAAGGGGAATTAAAATTTTTTTGAAGCCAGCGAGTGAGCCCTTGTTTATAGCGTTTCGGGACGAGTGGTTTCTTCGCCCGCGGGAAAGTTTGAGGCCTCAAGCCATTTCCCCGAAAACCTCTCCCCGAGTCGTCTCAAATCATCGTGTGGGCGGAAGTTTGCGTGAGCAAAGAAACGGGCTTCTTGCAGTGGTGATAACGAGAGTCTCGTAAGCTAAATTTTTTAGCAACGCAAAAATCTTTGAATCATTGTTGCAGCGATACGTTGGCCTCTTGTTTTTGTTTTCCCATGGAGCTTTGTTTTTTGTGGTTTCGTTTCATTGTTTAAGGATTGTTTGCTGGTCAGTTTGTTTTCTTTAACAGATTTCTCTATGTTTTATTTCAGTGCTTGAGCTGGATTTCAACACCTTTAAACCTAATCATACAGAAGTTTGAAGACTTTTTTCCGGCCCATATTTGGCACCAGTTGACGCGCATCTAAATGGTTATTGGTCCAGGCACGCGCTATTGTCCTCGCACTCTGATTGGCTGTCTTCATTCCATATTCGGATGCATATGGCACGTGATTTTCTCGTGTTTATTCTTCCCTCGTCCTCTTATTGTGCGACAAATTAAACCGTATTTAAACCAATTCCCGTTTATTTTCGAAAAGGAAAGATTTATTAAAGACGATTTATGTTATGTTCTTCACTAACACCGAACTCTATAAAAATTGAGTAAGTTCCTTATGGAGACGTTTTTTTTTCTCTAGTCCCTTGTTGTGAAAGATAAACGGGAAAAGGAAACAGTTCCTTCTATACGTTGAATATAGTTGAATAGAAAACATATTTCGTCCAAGCTTTCGAGATGAAGTATATATGGTTTAACGATTAAAGCTGTCAAACTATATTTATTATAGACCACTTTCATAAATGGCTGCCGTATAAATATTCTTTTGTTTAAATTTAAATTAGCCCTACTGGCCTCGCTTGAGGTAATGTATTCTTTTGAATTTTGTACTGGAGAACGAGGCCAGTAGGGCTAATTTAAATTTAAACAAAAGAATATTAATCCGGCAGCCATTTATGAAAGTGGTCTATGTAGGTTAAAAGTTCGCATAAAGTAGCTTGAATATAAAAAGTTCAATTCTCTGAGAGGGAACACTGCGTGTCTTCGTCGCCAAGGGAACGTTAATGGAACTGCTCAAGAATTCTTGGCAATCAGAGAATTTGGTATCGAACGTGATTGCTTTGTGTGTTGTTAACTTCATTCTGTAATTGGTTCAGAAAACTCGCCTCTCCTTTCCAATCATTCAAATACCTAAGTAAGCCAATCGCTAATTGGTGATTCGCGTTTTCCCGCGCCCCAGGCAGTCTGCTAGATTATTTTAATTGAGAGAAACGTTGCAAGCCACTCTCAGTCATTTGGATAAGCACATTACTGAATCTGTATTTCCCATTTCTGCGTCAGATCAGCTTGATATTCACTATCTGTTCCCCTGAATTTGCGAGGTAAATCAGTGTTCACATTATCTCACGTTTGAGCAAAATTAGACAGAATTACTATCTCGACTTTTTCAAGAGTTTCTTAAACGCAAGTGGCGGCGCTGAGCTTTGAGTCCCTAAACCGGATACATCAGAACTCGCTGAAAACCTTAGTTCGTGCTGACTGGGTCGAGAACCCGGCAGATCTAGTGTCACGAACAAATCCGACATCTTAGGACAGACTCGTACCATGCCTTCCGCTGCTTCCCTCCACTTACGTGCTCCGTACCAGTCGCTCTCGTCCTCCCATGGTTTGTCGCCAAAGAAATGGATCACATTCGGTTTTATGTCTCGCATTTCGTAGAACCACCTGCTGCATGCATACTTAATGTGGACATGATGCCACTCAGTCTTGTACAACTGTGTAAAGAAATGTTCATCGGGTCCAACAAAGTTTGCAGTGGTTCCAATTTGAGGCAGCGAACTTGCCAACAAGTAATGATCTAAATTTGGTGTCAGCACCATGGTGCATCCATGAACTCCATAATTGTTTTCAACAGAGTTTTCAATTTCTAACTCGGGTATCTTAGAACCATGCCAGTAGTCGTGATTTCTGATGCTAGAGCATACGCCAGCTGGAGTTGGAAGCTCAAAGAGCCGGTCGATGTTGTTGAGAACAAGTGAGTCTGCGTCCAGCCAAACGATTTTGTCATATTCTGTGAGTTTTAACATGCGCGCTTTTGTCAAACTGAATTCCATCCATTTATGTTCACTTCGGTACTTCTTCCCTCTCAAGGCACTTTTCACCCTGGTTTTAATGTACTGCACCTTAATGACACGATCGAAGAGTTTGCGCAGTAGCTTCATCGCCGGAATGCTGACGTCAGGGGTAACCATGACAATCAGTTCGTGCATTGTTTTCTGTTGCCTGAGAGACCAAGCCAAGGTCAGTGCTCCCTTAACATACTCGTCTCCACACATCACCAGCGTGACAAATGCGTATCGCGGGCGGGGAATTGTTTTTCTGAACTCATTCTGCAAGTGTTTAAGAGTGTTCGTCTTTGGTGGAGCGAAACGCGAATGTCTGTTCAGTTTTCGGTGGTTCGAGTCAATTATTTCTCTAAGGAGAGTTTTTGAACGAGACATCTCGGTGTTTACAGCCGTGAGCGTTACTCTTGTGTTTGCATCACTAACCTAACGCTTCAATTAAAAAAGAAAACGTAGCAAGATGAGTGTAAATCAGAATAACTGATGAAGACATCCCTTCCACTGATAGAGGGATTTTTTTGACAAAGTGAACATTTTCAAGATATCGACAATGCAACAGTGTAGCCAGGAAAGAAGGAAGAGGGAGCTATAGAATGCATGTCATCCCTCGATAAAAGTGAAAAATGCAAACAAACAAAAAAATTCGACATGCCCTTACACGTCAATAATACACTATTGCAGTCCCCTCCCCACCCCCCCCCCTCCTTTGGCTGTATGTCAAATGTCACTTGCCTCTCACGGGATTCTTACCTGATTATCAAATAACTGTCGTTTAAAAGGGACAAACCAATTGACTAAAAAGTTCTCGTACGACAAGCTGGCTGACAAAAAGAATTTGGCAACATTCAATGAAAATTCCACGACAAAAGAGGCACTTAAAATTATGAAGTATGCATATTACTCAATTTGAGTCGAAACACACCAACATAATATACATGCTGAGAAAAATTGTTTTTCGTTAGTTATCTAGAACATTTCTGAACGAGTTAATCAAAGGGAAAAGAAACAGAATTTTTTTCTGAATGAAGGAAACTGCTTTTCGTCAGTCATGAAGAAATAACTTGGTATCTATTTACTTGTAACACTTAACTGTGATACGAAGTAAACTCGGTCAGTTTACACATCTCACTACGAAATGCAGCTACCCAGATAAAAGGGACAATTGCAAAACAGATTATGACAAAAATTTTGGTTGCATAAACATATTGACCACTTCTCCGTCCGATTATGTTTTGACTCAGTTGAGACGAACAATGTAGTTCTTAAATTATGTGTAGAGAACACTTTTCACATAATAAACAAGAATAATGAATAATAAATCAAAGAGGGCACGTTTCTGTCATCAAAAAATATGCTCTATCTTCTGTTTAAATTTTCTTTGGAGCTGAAACGGTATGATCAACGTAAATCAACAGTAAAGAAACTGTTTTTGCAGACTGCCCTGCTTGTCAGAGTACAAAAAGATTTTGATCCTGTCATGAGAATAAAGTTTAAGAGTTTTCCTTCGACATAATTGTGGTATGACTCAAGATGTTACTGATTTGAGGTCTTGCCTTCTATACCGTTTAACAGTCATGAAAAGTTCGGGAAATATCAGTTTGAAGTTTTGAACGGTTTTGAGGGAGAGAAAAGTGCGAACGCGCGAGATGAAACTGTTAAACGTTCACACGTTTGTTGGCAATGTTTGCGACTTCTTGAATAACAACGAAGCTCGAGTCTCGACAAGGTTTTAAAGACAATGTATGTGTACTTACGTTGTAAAACTCTTCAAGAATGTTGTCTCTCCTGGTTGCAATGCCGGCACTAAGTAGCTGGTTCCTCTACAGGCTAAGACACGACACGAACTGAGAAATGTTTTCATTGCGATGGGCAATCATAGATGCTCTAATTTAAGGTTCGCTTTAAAGTTTGTTTACTAGAAACAAAGAATGTTAAACAATAGACGACTCGTTATAGAAGAAGCTTTAAGCGCAATCTAGCATACAATTAACCCTTTACAAACTAACATCAGTTTTCATATTCTCCATACTGTTCTCTAAATTGCGACCGGTGGTTAATTTTTGACTCTGATATACATATATTTTTTCTACAGTACTGAGTAAATATGGCCATAATAGGCCACTAGAAATAAATTTTCAACTGATAATCCAAGCTCACTTTGAGCTGAAAAATTTTCTTTTAAAATATTCGCCAAAACCTCTTTCAACTGCATCAAATTATGAATGATATTTTTTATGCTGGCAGCATTCCTGATTCAATCATTTTAACAAAAAAATCCGTACTCATTTCGCTGGCTGTTTCGTTGGTTCTGAAAGTTTTTAAATGAAGTTGATCTAAGGATGGCGAAAGCAAGGACTTATTGAACTTTTCCGTTACATTAACAAATATTAAGTGATTAGAAACACCGAAGTTGACTTCTGATGAGCGGTAACGCGTCAACAATTTTGCTACTAGTTTTGTTAAACTAAATGCCATCAGATTAAGACGCAAGAGACATCTAAAGGTTTTAAAACAATTAACTGTTTAAAAAAAAAAAACATACAAACCATAACACTGTCGGATAAATAGATACAAGTTTAGAAACTAAAAGTGACGAATATTCAGAATTGTAACAATTTATGCGAACAACATATGCAAACATTATACTAGACACCAGAAATATCATGTGTTAAAACAATATTCCAACTTATTTTTTGAGACAGTGTTCGACGAAATTAAATATTATCTTCTCTTAAGTTTCTTTTACCTTAATCATTTGCGGAGCTTGGAACAATATACTACGTCTGGTTTTGGTTTTTACTCGTCAACGAAGGAGAATCGCGAACACGCTGAGAAGAATATGAACTGGTCGCCACGACAACGGGACAATATGTAATTTTGTGTCGATTTCCGTTACACCTGTTTCATCGGTAATAGCTAATTAATTTATGAGGTGAAAAAATGGAAAGTTAAAAAAAAATTCCTTAAGAAATTTGAAGCTCCGCATGTGATTTACAATAGCGTATAATAATAGTACTGAAAAGATGGCATTGAAACCAAATGCATCTTAAGAGGCTTCATACGAAGGTCTCAGTCTTTTGGCTCAATTTCAACCTCTTGAAACTATTGTTATGTCTTTTTTGACCTTGTAGCACCACGGCTCAGAAATTTAATGCCAACAGTATACTGTTTACACTTATACTTCTTCGATGGTTTGACAAATGAAACGCGCGGATATAAGTGAGCTGCGTAGAATTTTTCCAGCCCTGTAGGGGCGAGGAAAAAAACCGTCAATGAGCAAAATTTCCTTTCGTTTTATATGTTAAAGCATTGAATAGGGGATTTTTTTTTTCACTTTTATTTCACCTCTAGTTTTCGATGAACTATCGTATGGATCACATATTGCGTGCGCGAACTAGACGAAAACCATCAATTGAAAGTGTTGTAATCAAGCAAATAATCTGATATGCGTAAGTGTTCACTTCGTAAAAAAGTCAAACCCACAAAAAAAAAACAGTTTCGCAAATGTGTAAATGTTCACTTCGTAAAAAAGTCAAACCCACAAGAAAAACCACACAGTTTCGCAGTTTCTATCTGTATTTTTGTACTGTTCTCAAGCGTGATAGCGTTTCATATTTTGCGAATTCCGTTGTCCTAATTTGGTAAAGTGGCGCACTAATGGAATAAAGAAAAACTCAATATTACGTCACTTGTGGGGAAGAAGTCAAAGATCAGAAGTCTAAAGCACTCTGGCTTTAGAAATTATGTCTAGGTATTGACTTATCGAAGTCTTGCAGATTGTAATAGGGATTGAATTTGAATGTGAAAGAGTAAAACATTTTTCTGTTAAAAAAAAAAATTTGCTTCAAGCTGGGCTTGGATGCGCTTCGGATGTCGTAAATCGATCGGTGAATATTTCCTAGTCGATCTTTAAGCTTCGCGTGACGGCTTTCATGAGGTTTTCACGTTCTTTTCCTCGGTTACCACGTTTAGGCTAGTAATATTTTCATATATGGAAGATACTCGAAAACCTTATCAGCTTAGTAGTCTGGGGGCGAAAGAGTCACTGGCGAATGTCAACGCTGTTGTACGAAATCCCGAGCATGGTTTAGTGCGTGAGTCATTAAAGGAAAGATCGCATAAAAAGCGGTTGTCTAATGTTTATATGCTGAGAGATAAGCCTGCATGTGTGGTATGCTTACATACTTTTTCGCAAACACGGCATGGACTTCGTACGGGTAAGTTTAATTTCATTGAAAGAATAAGTGGTCAGCTTTTCTTCAACAATTCCAGTTGCTTCTCTCTAAAGATCGTGAAAGGAATTGAACGATAAAATGTCGTAAACAAGTTCTATTCTTCACCTCAACAGAGCTGAGGCACCAGAAAGAACTATTTACTTCTTTGATAACGTGAAGTAAACGAAAATAACTTCGAAGAGTTTATATTATTCTTTTAAAGCCACCTAGCGAAGAATGTAAAAAAAAAAATTTCAGTTCGGCTTGGCCGTCAGTCAGTCGTCAAACGGTCTAAAATTTAGCCGTCACCGACGGTTTTTTTTTTTTTTCGCATTTTTATGAACCAAGACGAAGTCAAGGCTCATAAAAATGCGAAAAAAGAACAAGGCTAACATCCAGCCATCTTGACGGAACAAGCATGGTTAACAAAGGATTTATTAAATTGTAAAAAGATTTTGCTCTATTAAGAATTAAGATCGAATGACTTGTTTCCTTCGAGCCAGGAAAGAAAGCCAAATGCTTTTGGCATAACAAACTCACGAGAGTCGTTTCTGTTTTCTTTGTTTTGACTATCTTCTGCCGCTTTTTGCGTTTCCATCGCCAAAATTGTCTGAGAGTTACGAACGTGGTTCTTATTCTATTTTTTTCATGCGCAAGATCAATGCGGACAATCCCGATCGGGCAAGATGGGCCCATCTCACCCGCTTTGCCTGGGTAGCCAATCAGAACATAGGATTCGCTTCATCTTGCCCACGGGCGCTGCGTACTATGTAAAATATGTATATATATATATGTACATAGAAAGTTTAAAAATTGCGAGGATGGACAACTTCTGACGTCAAAAATATAAAAAATTTTACAAAAAAACGTTTCGGCCAGAGACCTTCTTCAGTTATTTACAACTTTTGAAATAAAAAAAGAGCTTTAAATAGGATCGAAGTGCTAATGATTACTTAATTACAGACAATAGCCTATAGCCTCCATTTGGCGCGAAAATGCGTTCGGATATTTATCCACGGACATTATCTGTTCCGAGATGCGAACAGCCTTCCGAAAGCGAAGCGTGACCGACTATCTCCAGGGGAGATAGTCGGTTACGTAATGCGTTTTGACCAATCGCGCGCGAGCACAAAACATTTGTTGCATTATAGCAGAGGGAATGGTGTTATGTTTGTGATATAATTATATACTATGAATCTAAAATTATTATAGGTTAAAATATACCGTGAATAATGAGGAGCTCCCACCCCACTCCCAGTGAGGAACAAAATGACCTTTGCAGTAAATTACCAGTTAATAATTTCGCTACTTATAGCAGCCTGAAGAATTATGTCCTTTAAAAGAAAGTTTTATTTCATACTCGGCACTAAATGTAACTCTGTCGTTAGGGAAAGCAACTAGATATGCATTGCAATAAGTCGCTAGAAAACATAATAATTACTACGTTATGCATATACTTGGAATTATTTGAAATTAAGCAACAATTATTTGAAAAATGTTTCCGAATGATTTGGTACCAGTGTGCAATTTACTCATGCTGCGCTCGGCCAGTGCGCAATTTACTCATGCTGCGCTCGGCGCATGCTCAGAGCATGCTTAAATTAAATGATTAAATTTTTATCTTTCAGTTACAACGGGTAACAATTATAGACATTTGTACAGACGCTGTAATTAAGCTTTGTACACGCAGTAAATTATTAAATAACATCTTCCGAGCGAAGGAATCCCGTTGAGTAATGTATGAAAATGGTTCTTTAATGATGTTTCAATCGACGAAGCTTACCTAAAGTAGTTTTCAAAGTCTGGAAAAAGTTTTCCTACCACAAGTGGCTGACAACGAGAAGAATTTTACAGGACTCTTGATCGCGCAGGTACAAATTCCTTTGCAATTCTGCACAATAGTTTGAGAAAAGCAGGTGTGATCGTTATGGAAAATATTATCCCTTGTGCTGTTTTTTAAGAAGACGTGAGCGGCACATTTTAAATGCCTTCCGCCCAAGAAAATCATCGTAGTTTTTTGCCGTAAAACTTAACAAAACGAGAAGATTTTGAGCAGATCGGTTACATTTTTTCTTTTTGAAAAACAGCATCATTATTTTCACAATAATGACGCTTTCAAATTTCATGAAACGGCTCAGCAAGTACGGGTTTGAAATCAACGCTCAGAATTCAAGTTTAGCCAAAGTTAACATGTTCTTCTTTCACCTGGTAAACCATTATAAATTGCCTACTACATAGGCAAACTGAAATTTTGTACTGTATGCAAAATAATTACAAGGACATGAGGGAAGCCTTGTTTTGCGCGAATAGCAAACTATAACATGAAAGCATCTGTTTGTATCGTGATCGCAAAACCGGAAGATCGAATGAAAGAAGTTTAAAATAAGAGAACTTTAAAGCTGAGTCGTCTGAATTTATTCCCTACGGATATTAATTTCAATCCAGGACATTCGCACAGCCTCAAATAACGACGTAATTTAACTTAAGCTCTGACGAATTCTGCGGCGCTTTTGCAAATCAAATTTTAAATAGGGGTTCCTTTCAACTTAATCGTGTAATACCTGGCATGTTTCCTCTGCGATTTACCGTTAAGATGTATCAATATCAAACATAAGTTCTATTTATGTAAGTCTCTTAGCCTATTTTTTAACTTTAGTTTTTAAAAAACTAGTGTTTGTTTTTTGTGTCGGACGGGTTTTATAAATTCTGGAGCGATCGATCGGAAAAATATGTCAAGTTGATGAGGAAGATAAAAAAAAAAACATTTCTTGCCAGTGATAAGTGCTTCAAAACGAGTATGGTTTTAATTGTAAACGTTAACAATAGACAACACGCGCTCATATTCGTAGTACACTAGCGGTATAGAACAATTTCATTTTTAAATGCTCTTGAAATTCGTGTCGAAAGCCTATTTCATTTTCCCCGGCGATGTTTAAGGAAATTAAAACACTGATTAAGACTCAATGGTTGATTTCTTGCCCAAAATTTTATGACGTAAATTCCGCAGTTTTAGAAAAACGACCTTGATAGCTCTACTTTTATAAGGTTCGTTTAATTTTTTTTGTTAACGTCCAAAAATGTAATGTATACTGATGTAAATTCTTTTGTGTTTGTCCGCAAAATATTAAACTCTGGTTTGATGAATATAACCAAAATACAGGTATCGCGAAAATCTGATCAAACAATGTAAACTAGGTCTCAGAACACAAAAAAAGCGTTCAAGAATGTCCTATGATTTTTTTTTTTTTTATTGTTCGTCCAGATGCATTTTCCAAAGAAAGATTGTTTGGAAGCCGTGAAGTGATATCGAGTCGCTTGAGGCTTTGGAAAAGCCACGCTAGGGAACGAATCAGTGAATTGCGGTTGATGAGAATTTCCAATGTTTGCATCGATATGCGTCATTGTATCTAGATGCTTCTTTTCGAGAAGCTAAATGAAATCCAAAGATCATTAAAACGGGGTACAGTTTTGATTTCGATGAAACAGTTTTTAGTGTAATGGAAAAAATCCGAGCCCCAGATGGGACTTGAACCCACGACCCTCCGTGATCTAGTCGGATGCTCTAACCACTGAGCTACTGGAGACTCCATGCTGAGAAAGGGTCAATTTGTGGGCCTGGACTGGAACCGCATCGCGCGGCTACACAGCCAAGTATTGGTAAGCGTCTGTGAAACTCAATAACAGCATCACGCTGTCACATTAAAGCATATCAAGATACGGCCAACCAACCTCCAAGGTGAGCATGTAAAGATGAAACAATTTTTAGTGTAATTACTACCGACAACCATTTAATTACAAAATCAACAAAACAATCGGAGACGCCAACATTTTCGGGCAACTTTCATTTCAAAAACATTACAAAAACGTCATTCAGCGCCCAAATTGTTTTCGTATGTTATAAAAGAATTGTTTCATGCTTTTAGCTGTGCGTCTATCGAGTTATGGATGCACTTGGGAAGTTTGGAGAGCACTCAAGAAGCTAGAGTTGCTCTCGGCTGCGCCTCGAGCAACTCTTGCGCTTCTCTCGTGCTCTCCAAACTCCCCGCGTGCATCCATAACTCGATAGACGCACGCTAAGCATGAAACAATTCTTAAATGTATAATAGTGTAGTTTAAGTACAAAAATATATATTATATATCTAATGTAATTCGATATTTAA